AAGGTTTAAATTAGTTTCATAATAGGGGTGTGTACATTGGATATTTTTTCCTCCATTCTTGTGATACTTTGCTCAGAAGAACATTCTCCAGCTCAAAAAGTTTTTAAGTACTATTGATAAACCAGGAAATTTAATCTGCTCCATGAATAGAATTGTAATTGATGTATGTGGTAATTTAGTACAAACCTAAGAATCAAATTCCTCGTATTAAATTTTATTTTTATCAAACTCCTCGTATTAAATTTCATATTCACTCAATATAAATGGACTAAATTTTAAAACTCAGAAACTTGAAAATAAGATGAAGTTAGACAACTTTAGATTATCTAACCATGTGATATGTGTATAGTATGAGGTCTTTTATTGCATTGATTAAAAGAATAAAGAAATGGGAATATAATTCTATATGTCTATACGATCTTTTTTTTTGCAGTTTTTGGCCAGGGCTAGGTTTGAACCTACCACCTCCGGCATATGGAGCCGGCGCCCTACTCCTTTGAGCCACAAGCGCTGCCCTGTTTATATAATCTTATAATGAATCATAAACTTAAAAGTATTACTTAAAAATTAATTTTTGCATTTTATTTTTAAGATATGAGATCTCACTGTGTTACCTATGTTGGTCTCATACTCCTGGCCTCAAGCCAGGGATTATAGGCATGAAGCCTCTGAGCTCAGTCTGTATTCTTATTCTGTAATCACATATGTATATGAGTTGTGATGGATTCTGAATTTGAGATTTCTATATTCTGTAGTATTCTCTGAATGGAGAAATATATAGTATGTGAGAAAATAAAAGTATAAAGTTACTGGTTATATGGAAAATTAGTCGTAATTTTGAACTTTTATTGAAAATGAATGTTCTAGGCTGGGCACAGTGGCACACACCTGTAATCCTAGCAGTTTGGGAGGCCAAGGCAAGTGGATTGCTTGAGTTCAGGAGTTTGAGACCAGCTTGAGGAAGAGTGAGACCCTTTAGAAATTCTGTTTCTAAAAATAGAAAAACTATATGAGCATTGTGGCAGGCGCCTGTAGTCCTAGCTACTTGGGAGCCTGAGGCAAGAGGATCACTTGAGCCCAAAAGTTTAAGGTTGCTGTGAGCTATGATACCATGGTATTCTACCCAAGGCACAGAATGAGACTCTGTCTCAAAAAAAAAAAAGAAAGAAAGGAAAGAAAATTGATGTTCCAAAAATGTTATCTTTAATAGTAATCAGAGTAGCATGTGTGTTATTGATTTTGAATATTTTAATGAAAAAGTATATAGTCAGCCTTCTATGTCCTTGGCTTCTACATCTGCAGATTTTACACCTACAGATTCAACTAACCTTGGATTGAAATATATTTGTGTGGTTTTTTTGAGACAGAGCCTCAGGTTGTCCCCCTGGGTAGAGTGCTGTGGCACCACAGCTCACAGCAACCTCCAACTCCTGGGCTCAAGTGAGTCTCCTTCCTCAGCCTCCCAAGTAGCTGGGACCACAGGCACCTGCCACAACACCTGGCTATTTTTTTTTGGTTGCACCCATCATTGTTGTTTGGCAGGCTTGGGCTGGATTCGAACCTGCTACCTTAGGTGTATGTGGCTGGCGCCTTAGCCACTTGAGCCACAGGCACCGAGCCGGATTGAAATATATTTGAATGAAAAACCCTTAACAATAAAAAATAATGCAGTATAACACCTATTTACATAGCATTTATATTGTAAATTGATATTATGTGTCAATGTGGCTGAAAAACCTTAAGCATTTGAGAGGCAGTGACATCATTCTCGAGTTCATCATAGATATTAAAACACCATAACAAAACCATTAGACCTGGCTTGGCAACTGTAGCACAATGGTTACTGCACCAGCCACATACACTGAGGGTGGTGGGTCCCTACTAGTGGCTGGGACTACAGGCGCCACATTGTAAATTGATATTGTGTGTCTAAGTAACCTATAGATGATTTAAAGTATACGGGAGAATATGTGTAGGTTATATTCAAATTCTACACTCATTTATATGAGGGACTTCCATATCCTTGGATTTTGGTATCTCTAGAACCAATCCCCCACAGATACTGAGGGACAATTGTGTTGTGATTTGTGATGGCACAATAGCGTTTCTTCTATAAATTTTTACTTCCGTGTAAGCTAAGGTATTCCCCTATTTTTTTGCTTCCTTAGTTGAAAGAAAAGTATTTGGGGTCCAGACATTAGCTTTCTTTGAAAAACTTTTTTGCAAAAAAGTCTATCTTTTGTGAGATAGGCTTGGCACCTGTAGCACAGTGGTTACAGCACCAGCCACATACATCAAGGCTGGCAGGTTCAAAACTGGCCTGGGCCAGCTAAACAACAATAACAACTGCAACAAAAAAATAACCAGTGTTGTGGCGGGTGCCTATAGTCCCAGCTACTTGGGAGGCTCAGGCAAGAGAATCACTTGAGCCCAAGAGTTTGAGGTTGCTGTGAGCTATGATGACACAGCACTCTACCAAGGGCAACAGGGTCAGATTCTGTC